ATGAACACGGGGTACAAATAGCTCTTCAAAACTGTGGTTTCCTTTCTCTTAGGTGTATACCCCAAAGTGGGATTGCTAGATCATGTGGTACTTTAAATTTTTTGAATAATGGCCACACTGTTTTCCACAGTGGCTGTACCATTTTACATTTCCACTAACAGTGCACCAAGGTCTCAATTTCCCTACATTCTCACCAACCCTTGTTATTTATTGTGTTATCAACAGTAGCCATCCTAATGGGTTTGAGGTGATATGTTATTGTAGTTTTGGTTTGCATTTCTCTAACAATTACTGATGTTCAGCATTTTTTCATTCACTTGTTGGACCTTTCTATATGTTCTTTGGAGAAATGTCTATTCAAGTCCTTTGCCCATTTTAAATTAGGTCATTTGAGGAGTTTTTTGCTGCTGCTTAGTCTTCTATATGCAGTGAATCAAATCTCACCCTCTCTTATCTTTAATACTCTCTAATCAAGGCATGCTCCAAGATGCTCTCCTATTTTGAAATACTAAGAATACAGAGAATTTTGCTCTCAAGAATCTTGAAGTTAGAAAGGCACCATTTCATAAACCTGAGAACTCTTGGAGAAGTTTTGGTATGTATGAAATCTTTTATAGAGATACTACATTATTACTATAGTTCTCATTCATTTCAGTTCAACAATATCTACAGAGTACCTACTATATAGCAGGCATTGCACCATGAATAAGTTAGAATTAATACAAAATGCTCAATATTTTAATTCCTTATCCACCAGCAGGACTCTGGGCCACAGTTTTTGGATATATAATTGACCCTTAATGTGAAGTTAGGAGCTGACTTCCACACAGTGAAAAATCCTCTTATAACTTTGACTCCCCCAAAACTTAACTATGAGGGGGGAACCCCCCAAAACTGGAATTATCTTCTGGAGGGCAGGCCCCTTGTACTATAGGCTTCCCCGGCCTGGTCAGTGTTCTAGGAACACATCTGTATCAGTGTAGTAGCTGGCATTATTGTGAGAGGCTGTGTTTGGCTTCAGTGAATTTGTTTTGAAGACTCTTTCAATGTATTTGCCCATTTCATGATGGGTCATTTACAAGTGCACTTGCCCACACCACACTGAGTGTTCAGCAGTTTTTGACCAAACCCACATGTCCCCTATGCCCCACCTTCCCTATTTACCCACTCTCCTCCCAAGCAACTTTGTTTCCCCAGATGAAAAAAGTCCTCAAAGAGAAAACTTTTGCTGATGTGGAAGAGGTGAAACAAAAACATGGCAAGAGCACTAAGAGGCATCAAAATCAAGTTCAAAAAGTGTTTTTGAGCAGTGGAAAAAATGTGTCAATAGGTATATTGCATCAAATGAGGAGCACTTCGAAGGTGATTGAAGTTTAAATATAAGAATACACACACAACTTTTTATAAATAAATTCCAAGTTTTGGGGGGCCCCCTCATATAGTTCCTCTGTATCCATGGGGTTGGGGGATTGGTTCCAGGGCCCCAATGGATCCCCACATCTGAGGATGTTCAGGTCCCTTATATATAATGGTGTAGAACAATGCACACAGTTGGCATTGTGTATTCCCAACTGCAGACTGAAAATACTGTTTCCCATCTGTGGCTGGTTGAATCCTTCTCAGATGCAAAACCTGGGATTCAGAAGGCCTGATGTACATTTATTGAAAAAAAATCAGAGTATATGTGGACACAAGCAGTTCAAACTCATGTTGCACAAGGTCAGCTGTGTATATATTTTAATGAGTTTAAACAGCTACAGATCCCTTTTGATTTTTCTGACAGACTGTCTCTCTCTGAATTAGGAATTGTACATCCTTATGGAAGCCTGATCTTTGAGTCGGACCTCTCAATTTTCCGAGGCCCTACACAAGTGAAAAGCACACCCTATCTAAAAACGTAGTTTCTTTAAAATTCTTGGTAAAGTTTTAGTCTTCCTACATAAGTCTACCATTTCTGCTTCTAAACAGAAATTCATTGCTCATTCAGAAAAAAATTCATTCTGGTTGCAGATTGTTGAATCATACAAAAATCTCAACCTGTCCTTAAAATATGCAGTTATCCACAGGATCTACACTGGTACACATCTTTTCTAGTCCATCAGAGTCTGTGGCCCATTATAACGTTTATCTGCTTTTGTGTCCCAAATCTGAATCTAAACCAAAACCCCCAGGAAGCCACTGCACGTAAAAATATTCTTAATCTCTGGCCAACAGTAGGAACAATGCCCACTCCCAGGGCTGAGGTGGCACGACAGCAGGACTGACTGACTCAGAGGATACTGAGACCCAGAAAAAAGAGTCATTTCCTCCATAAAGGTCTCCAGACAGCTTAGGGCTCATTTGATGCCATACTTCTCCCCCCACCCCCACCCCACTAATGTTTGTTTTCTCAGATGCTGCTTGACATTTATTTTCCTACTTATTGAATGTGAAAATAAGCATACTGCTGCAAATCCTTATTTGTTTGAATGCATTAAAAGGCTCTGTATTAATACAATTCTAGAATTCAAGTCAAGAAAAAGTTTTGCTAGATCTAGGACTACGGGGACAACTTCTTTCTAAAGTGCTTCTAGGCATATCTAAATGACCCTTTAGACTTGAGAACAGAGGCCTGTCTAGAGGTGGAAAGACCTCTAAACTCCTCTTTCAGTCAGGCCTGTGTCTACACATTCCCTCTTCCTCCCTACCCTAATCCTGTTGTGATAGAGCACTTTGTTTCGTGTTCAGTAGGATTAAGGTGCTTTGGATTAAGATCTTGACACAAACACAAACGCATCTACATCTACACAACAATAACAAAGTGACTTTCATATAGAGTTCAAGGTAAAATTTTAGGCACAAGTGATTGAGACAACAATAAGCCTAGATACACTCTAGGAAAAGAGTATTAGCCCAGGGTTGCCCCAGAATTGTGAAACAATGCCACAGCACATCTGGAATTATCTGTATGACTAATAGTACAATCTGTTACTACAGAAAGGTTATAAAAATCTATGGGCCTCACACCATGTGTAATGTGGGCAATATAGCAAACTTGTAAGAATGTTTGCTTCTGCATTTCCTGGCTTAGGAAGAGAGGTAGGAGGGGTCTAAAATGTCTTATGCCTGTTAGTGAATATGGAACCTATTCAAAATCTTGTTCAGATCCTCAGCGAATTAATAAAACCATCTTCCTTCTTGAGAATTAAGTCAGGTATTCTTATATCTTGTACTGAGGACCCATAAATTCTTTAAATTATGGAGGGTCATTTTCTCTGATTCAAGAATTCTTGTTTTAGGAGCAATTAACATGAATCTCTGAAATCCTACATGGGCATTTAAGACCCAGGGCCACATTTAGCCCAGAGCATTGCCCTGGTTCCATAAAACAATTTCTAAACCAACAGACATTTGCTGGAGCACCTTACCCAAATCTAACAGTCCTTCTAGTTTATAAAGAAGCAAGTCTGTGTTCACACACACAAATACACTGGCTATCAGCATAATTGGCCCCCACAGTTTATGTTTAGTTTAAGAGGCTGATGAGAAAGAAAAGATAATAAAACAAGGCTGCTGCCTTAGAAATACAAACCAGGCTGACTAGGTAACAGGGCATCGGTAGCACCCCAACAGTTCAGCAGCAAATGCAGACATGGAGGGAAGTTTGGGTGTGTAAGGTACTGCGGGAGAACACAGGGGTGTCTGGAAACATCCAGAACATGCTAGAAGGTAGCAGTAATGGCTAAGTCTAGAACGAGGACTAGAGAGGATCAGTGTTAAGCTAAAGTATGAATATATACATCTGAATCTCTCCCTAATTTAGGGCAAAGACTGGGGGAGACAGGAATCGTAAATAACCCAATTGGGAAGAACTGAGAGTGTGATAACAGAGACGTGTTAAGGGTCATTAGGGACAGTAAAAACAAGAGAGAGAGAAAGAGAGAAAGTCGGGGTGATGATTATTGGAGAAGCGTGTGAAGGGTCAGAATTGTCGGGGTCACCTATGGGAAAAGACTGCAGACGTCAGCAGCAAAGAAAAGAAGACAGCACAAAGTTAGGGCGTGGCCCAGAAAAGGAATGGCTCAACTAGCAGGCGGTGGGGTGAAATGGAGAAGGGTGGTGATGAGCTTTGCTGACAACAGCTCTCAGGTGGGTGTCTACAGGGTTAAAACTCAAAGGAGGCGAGAAGAAGCAGAGCTCGGTTTCCAGGGTAACGGCTCCGACAGTTCCGGCAGCGCAGGTCTGTACCACTGTGCAACGTGCGAGGGGGGGAGCGCAAAGGGAGGAGGGCCTAGGGAAGGAGCCTCCGAGCCTAGGGTACGTCCCGGACGCTACCAACCACGCAGCCAGCCTGCTCGCTCCGGAGTCTACGCCGAGTAGCTCTCAGGCCTCCTGGCCGCCGCGTCCTGTCCTCCACCGGGCTGGCAGGTCTCAACTGCCCGCCGACAGCAGGGGGGGGGTTAGAAACCCGTGCACCCGGTGGCCCAAAGTGGCCTCCTGGTCCCCCCGCCTGGGCAGCGGAGTGCGGGCGGCCCGGGCTGGGAGGTTTGAAAAGCCGGCGAGAGACAAAGGCAGCAGGAAGCCTCCACGACTCCCGGAGCCCGGACGTGCAGCCCCCGAGGCCCTTCGCAGCCCGGCTGGCCTGGAGCGGCAGTGGCAGTGGCAGGAGGCGAAGAATGCTGCAGGGGGCGTGGGAGCGGCGGCGGCGCGGCCGGAGCGGTGCGGCCCCAGTGCGGCGTGGTTAGACCTCAGGCGGCGGCCCCGCCGGCTCGGGAGTGAGTGAGGGGCACCTACCCCGCCCGGGATGTGAGGACCGAGCGGAACCGGGGCGGGGGGAGGGAAGGGAAGGGAGGCGAAGCCGGCAGGAAGGAAGGACGGACGGACCAGGAGGAGGAGCGGCGGCGGAGGCCGGAGCCGGAAGGCGGGGAGGGGCCCTGTGTTGGGCCCCAGGCAGCGGCGGCCAGGGCCAACTGCTCTCCTCGCCTCCTCCCCCCGGCTCCGCGGAGGGGGGAGGAGGAAGATGGAGACCCACATCTCATGCTTGTTCCCTGAGCTACTGGCTATGATCTTCGGCTACCTGGACGTCCGGGACAAGGGGCACGCGGCGCAGGTGTGCACGGCCTGGCGGGACGCCGCCTACCACAAGTCGGTGTGGCGGGGGGTGGAGGCCAAGCTGCACCTGCGCCGGGCCAACCCGTCGCTGTTCCCCAGCCTGCAGGCCCGGGGCATCCGCCGGGTGCAGATCCTGAGCCTCCGCCGCAGCCTCAGCTACGTGATCCAGGGTATGGCCAACATCGAGAGCCTCAACCTGAGCGGCTGCTACAACCTCACTGACAACGGACTGGGCCACGCGTTTGTGCAGGAGATAAGCTCCCTGCGGGCTCTCAACCTCAGCCTCTGCAAGCAGATCACCGACAGCAGCCTGGGCCGCATAGCCCAGTACCTCAAGGGCCTGGAGGTGCTGGAGCTGGGGGGCTGCAGCAACATCACCAACACCGGCCTCCTGCTCATCGCCTGGGGCCTGCAGCGCCTCAAGAGCCTTAATCTTCGCAGTTGCCGCCACCTCTCAGATGTGGGCATCGGACACCTGGCCGGCATGACACGCAGCGCGGCGGAGGGCTGCCTGGGTCTGGAGCAGCTCACGCTGCAGGACTGCCAGAAGCTCACCGATCTTTCTCTAAAGCACATCTCTCGGGGGCTGACGGGCCTGAGGCTCCTCAACCTCAGCTTCTGCGGAGGCATCTCCGACGCTGGCCTCTTGCACCTGTCGCACATGGGCAGCCTCCGCAGCCTTAACCTGCGTTCCTGCGACAACATTAGTGACACGGGCATCATGCATCTGGCTATGGGCAGCCTGCGCCTCTCAGGGCTGGATGTGTCGTTCTGTGACAAGGTAGGGGACCAGAGTCTGGCTTACATAGCGCAGGGGCTAGACGGTCTCAAGTCTCTCTCCCTCTGCTCCTGCCACATCAGCGATGATGGCATCAACCGCATGGTGCGGCAAATGCATGGGCTGCGCACGCTCAACATTGGGCAGTGTGTGCGCATCACCGACAAGGGCCTGGAGCTGATTGCTGAACACCTGAGCCAGCTCACTGGCATAGACCTGTATGGCTGTACCCGAATCACCAAGCGCGGCCTGGAGCGCATCACACAGCTGCCCTGCCTCAAGGTACTCAATCTGGGACTCTGGCAGATGACGGACAGTGAGAAGGTCAGGTGAGGGAGGCAGCACCAACTCCCCTTGCCTTGCCCATCCTCCTGTCACCACCATCCTCCTGTCACCACCATCCTCCTGTCACCACCATCCTCCCTCCCCTCTCACTCCACATGCACACCTATAGGTAGATCATTGCAGTGGATGAGATGGGACAGTGATATGGAGCCTCAGGCTCATTTTTCTCCTCCCTCCTCCAGCACCCCTGCCCACTAAATGTCCATGCATTGATGGCTTCTGGGGTTCTCTGCTACCCATGACATACTCTCATCTTTTTTCCCTGAGGATGGGGAGAGGGACTCGCCTACTTACTCATCCACTTCTCTCTATTCTGGAATGGAGGGGCTGATTAAGCTACTGTATCCTCACTGCATTGCATTTGAAAGTGGGGGTGGGGAGTAACTAGTCCTTTCAGCCCTGGGGAGTTGAGGAAAATGTCTGCCTTCACTTAAGCTTTCATTTGAATACTGTGATCTGGTTTTTATTTTGAAATGTATGAAAGCAAACCCAACTACAACGGCCTTTTCACCCTTCTTCCACTTTGTAACTAATCCCAGTTTCTTCTCATCACTTCTCTTTTTACAGTACTCTGTTACTCATGCTCATTTCATTTTTGTTTTTCTTTTTTTTGAAGAAATTTGAATCATGGTCTTTTTTCTCTGCTGAATATATTCTATATATTATATATATGTATAAATCTTATGTTTATATATATATATATGTATATATATGTCTGGCTACCTCGTTTTAGTTTACTTTTTTCTCTGAAGCCCTGCAATTCTACAAGAGAGCTATTTTGAGACAAACATTTTTGTGCCTAGACTGGAAAGATGCCCATTGGGTTTGTACATCTTTTTTATTTTGGCTTTTTCCCCAACCCCGTCCATGGAGTATGTCCCACATCCACATTTTGGCTGTAGTTATTTTTCTCCTTGTCCATTGGGATTTTAAGGGCCCAACCATGTTCCTAAATGTTGACTTAATTTATAGCACAAATGTGTGTGGGAGAAATGAGAGTTGAAGTGTCTTGTTTGTTTGAGATGCAGATTGTCTTGAAAATTATTATTATATATGCAAATCTGCCCTACCCACACCTTCTTCCAACTTTCCCCACCAAAAAAGGTCCAACAGTGAGGCTTCCTGGTGGAAGGAGAGGAGCAGAGTTGGCCTCCAGAGCCCTTGAGGCTGTAATGTGAAGGGGAGAAGACGGAAATTCATGTCTTATCTCTGTTCTGTTAATAAAATGGGAATTTGTGGGTTTTAAAAAATTGTTTATAAATGGAGGAGTAGATGACTTTATTTTGGTGGGGGCTGGGACTTGTGTCTTTAAAAAAATCACTTTTCAGTAGGATGTATATTTTTGTTGGATTTTTTGTTTGTTAATTATTATTATTTTTTTAGAATCCTCCACAGCAACATTCGAGACCATGGAGTTAAAGAAACCCAGAGACCTTTATCAATTAATTGTACTGTTTGTGAATTTGTATAAATATTAACAAAGATCCTCTTAAAACATTTATATTCTTACAGTAAAAGGTTAAACTGATATTTATATAATAAAAGAGGAAATATGAAGTATGTTTTTGAAAAAAACAAACAAACCTTGTTATCTGTGAATTATTTTGAAGGCGGAGTGCGTTTGGGTGTGTGCCCCAGTCAGGTGCTGCCCGTGTGCCTTCCAGAGCCTGTGCCCTGTGTGCTGTGCGTGTGCTCACAGTTAGAGATTTGTGCTGTGCGAGGCTTACTACCGAATGTTTTGTTGCTAGAAATGTGGTTAGATAGATTTCTATAACTTTTGGTTTTCAACTATCAAAAAAAAAAAAAAGGAAATTTAAAGGGATTGAACAAAGTGAAGCTTTTTTAAAAACCAAATTTGTAAGAGTCACAATTTGCACAGGGTAGCCAATTTTTCTTTGGGTGGAAATGACATCTAGGTGTAATGTTCAAAAAACAAGTCATGAGATATGGAAGCGGGGGAGAAAGATGCCCTTTCTTTACACTCTGAGTGGGTGTGGGGAGGATGTGAAATGGTGAAGGCTGGAGGGAACTGAAGCCATTGTTCAGAAAAGTTGAAAGAGGGCTGACCTTGCTCCCAGGCAGGCTGGCTCAGTCATGCATACTGGATATCCCTGTGAGGGAGGGTCCTAGTGGGGAGGAGGAGGGCAGGCCAACCCCTCTTTTTAACATTCTCCTTCAGGCCTGACTGTATTTAAGCACTTTCTGGGGGATGGGGAGGTTGGGCAGGAGTTCTTGCACATTTGCATTTTAAGCACTTCCAACACTGAGGGTGATGGTTCTTAGCCTGAATTTCAGGGCAGATAAATGAATACCAACAATTCTAGCAAAGCTTTCCCTTTGATAGACAATAACTAAAAAATCTGCCACACTGTGGTTAGGCTTTGGAAGGAAGAGTAAAACTGTTCAAACAGTGAAGTAATGCATATTCCTGGGTTCACACAGGTCTTTCATAGTTGCTTCTGAGATTTTTCTTTTTTTAAATGAAAAATACTGATCCCAGCAACAGGTGATAAAGAGTATTATAATACTTTCCTGGATTGGCACCTCTTTCCAGGAAGAGAGCTAGAACCCAGGTTTCTCTGGGGATAAGATTCTTCTGTACAATATCCCAAGCTTTCTGCTTGAGCATATACAAAAGCTGCATTGTTCCTTTTTGGAGAGCTATCATCATTGGGTCTAACTGAGCCTGACACTAGATCCATCTTCCTTTTCTTTAGGGAAGGTGTGGATCTCTCTCTTCCCTCTTAGGTTACAGTACTTATCGCCTAGGGGAAAATGTGTGAACCCTACGCAGAAGTGGGGACTTTTGAGTTAGGGTCAGCTTTCCAATTCAGCATTTGACACTACTACGCACAAAGGTTACACAAACTGGACATTCTTAGACTGTTTCTTCTTCCGGGGACTGCCTGGCTGTTGAGATTCAGTCAATAAAAGTTTGAGTACCTCTTAAGTCCCAGGTTCTGCTGTCAGCCTTCATTTTAATACCCAAAATAATCCAACTGTAACTGGAAGGCTTTTATGCTTCCCTGTTTGGTTTTTACTTCAAAGGTGAAATACAACCTTAACTAAAGGCTGGTAAATTAGTGTTTTGAAAGTTAAAGATCATGGGCCTAGTGTCTTCATTCCTGAACTGGGCACACTTAATATATCTAGAGCATCTCTGGAAAAGGCGAATAAACCACTTACTTTCATCCCTTATGGTTAACTTCTTGTCTCAACGTTTTTGCATAAAAGGAAAGGAATATGTGTTGAGAACCTATGGTGTGCTTTGCATGGTACTTATAAATGTTACCTTTAGTCCTCAAAGCAACCTACTGAAACAGGTCCCTTGTTTTCCAGATAAAGTATATTGCTCCTCTTAAGTTGCCCCCACCACTAGCTGAGGGGAGTCAGAATTCAAACCAGGTCCATTTTTGAAGTTCAGCTCCCTTTTGCTCTATGAGGTTATGTTACTCATACCTTGGCTTCCAGGAAGGCAACCTCCCAGGAGTAGAAGCTGTTTTAAACAGTGTGGCCAAAGTTATGCTGAAGGGGGCTCTACTTTAAAGGGCACAGGGGTGGATTCGATCTCCACCATACCTACAAATGTGGAATTCTTTAAAAGCATTTCTTTGTACTTCTTGACGAGTACTAAAGAGAATGAGTAGATACACAGTTTGTGGGTGGTACAAAAGTTTAAAGTCACTTGAGTGCAACTTTTAGAATATAAAAAAAAATCTAGTTCAGGTATTTGCTAAAACTTCAGAACTAAAAAACCAAAATAGGAAGTCTGTAAACTTTATCATCTAAAAATAATAAACCTCAAGAGAAATTCTTTGGGTAGGGGTTAAAGATGGGGCTCCACATGCCTTTCTTTCCTCATTGGCAGTAGCTCTATAAGGTCTGTACTGAAAAGATTATTTATAAATGCAACTGGGGGGTTCAGATAGTTTCTCAGGCCCTGAGGACCAGGGCCAGCCTTTATCTAAGAGAGCTGGGCATCGCTGCATAATTCTCCCTGCTATGGACGCCTTCCTGCTGAATTCCTCAACCCTAAGGAAGGGGAGGTCCCACTTGATTGATTCCACATTTGGCAACAGCGACAAGGATGCTTGTCTAATGTACATCCTTAAATAGTTAAGGAAACTCATGTTGATCCTATTCTTTGATTTAAATCAAACAAGGGTCTGAAAAAGCAAATGTTCCTTTTAATGGAGTTTCTTTCTAAAGGTAAGAACTTTCTTTATTAAGGACATATGATATGTAAATTGAAGCCTGGCCTTTTCCCAAACCCTGCTGCTTCCTGCAGTGGTTACTAGATAGATCCTGGTTTTGGGAGAGAAGTAAAAACCCTTTGACTTTGGGCTTAAGAGATTTTGAATTCATGTTTTCAAAGGGGTAATGGTAGTGGCCTCCAGGGACCACTGTGTCTCCAAAGTATAAGAGCTTTTTGAGTAAAAGATCAGATCTATGAAACAAAACCGACCTCATGTAGCTTCTGACAACCAGCCCTTCCCAGACCCTGAAGGGAGCCCCTGGCCTCTGTTCTCAACTGCTCTGCTGTGGAAGGGGCTGCTTTGAGTCCTCCAGCAGCGGACCCCTGTGATCTTGCTCTTCCCTGCTTCAGACATTTTACAAAGTTAATTCCACCCCTTTAGTAGAGGGCGAGACCTACATTTTGTGCCACTGTGAACCCGCAGCTTTTTGATTAAATAATGTATGTCATGGGTAAAGCACAGGATTTGAAATTGAAAAGCTACATTCAAACCTAAGCTGATGCTTAGGCCACACATTTATCTCATTTTTGTCAATGGACTTATTCAAAAATTAGGCAGCAAATGAAATTTTCTGAAAAAGTGAATGTTAAACAGATGAGACATTCACAGTTGGTTCAGTGCCAACTATTAATAATTTAAGATCTTGCAGTTAAGATCTTGAGCTTTCTTTTCTTTCTCAGGCACCCTAACTGGAAGACCTGGCTTTACATAGTGCCAGTGCACTGGGTTGGTGCAGGCAACCCCACCAACCTTATCAAAGGTAAGTACACAGCAGGGCAAAGACCATATACTTTCAGGTCTTGGATAGAAAAAGGGATATTTCTAGGCAATTGATAAACTTAAATGTCCACAGATCATCACTTTCAGTCTTTTGCAGGGACTGCTCTGATTCTGCCTGGTGGGGTTGCCTGCACCAACCCAGTGCACTGGCACTATGTAAAGCCAGGTCTTGCAGTTAGGGTGCCTGAGAAAGAAAAGAAAGCTCAAGATCTTAACTGCAAAGTACTAGAGTGGCATACGTTTAGCATCCCCACCAAATAAAGACAAGTTTTTATTATCTCATTACTCTTCCACTTTGAAAGATAAATGCCACATATTCTCGAACATTTATTTGATTTATTTGTGACAGTAGAAACTAGTCTCAATTACAAAGGAAAAGAATGAAGTTCCCAGCAGCAAAGAAACCCAGGTGAGACAGCATCAGGATGTGAATGTGGCCTCCTGGAAGAATTTAGTCCTACACAGTAGTCATTTTCTCTTCTCAAAATTTTTGTTTTCCCAAAGCTGGCAGATACTGTACATGTAGTTTCATAAATGAGGAAAGAAGCTTGACAAGGGGGAAAAGACCCTGCCTAGGTGCCACAATGAGTCAGCCTCAGAACCAGGGCTGCTCCAGGCTTTAATGACCACGTCAGAGTGACCAACGTGCAGGTAGCTCTTTGATCTTCCCTTGGGACATTGCAAAGGACTGCCCTGATCCCTTGCTTCAGAGAAGTGGTTAACCAGAGCATACTTTCTTTGGGAATGAAAAAAAAAAAAACTCTGAATGGTGAAGGTTATTACTATTTCTTTTTTTCTATTTTCTTAAATGATTTTACTTATTTTTAGAGGGAGAGTAAAGGAAAGAGAGAGAGAAACACCAATGTGTGGTTGCCTCTTGCACACCCCCAACTGGGGACCTGGCCTGAAGTCCAGGCATGTGCCCTGACTGGGAATCAAACCAGCAACCTTTTCAGTTCACAGGCCCATGCTCAATCCACTGAGACACACCAGCCAGGGCACTATTTAATAAGCATTAAATTATGCAAACTCAAGAAATATTTTGTAAGCATTTCAACAAGCAAAAAACCCCAGTAAGTTGGTAAATGGGCTATAAGGTCCCCAAGTAGCTAGTAGTGTCAAATCTCATCTGTTAATGTTCAGAGTACATGAACCAGTTTCTAAAACACTTGCTTTGTCACAAATAGTAATGTGAAGTACAAACACTGGAAGTCTGTGCTTGTAATAGCCTTGAACCTAAGAACTTACATACACTTAACACATTTACAAATATCTGTCATACAATCCTTTAATAAAGTAAAATCAGGTTGTGGGAACACTAGCTATTTTCATGCAAGGATAAAAAGGCTAGACTTCACAGATCCCACTTGTCTAGAAGAGTAAAAGGGACTGATTTGTTAATATCAGGCAGCCTCTTATGTTTATTACTCCTCAATTTATGTAATCCACACACTAGAAGGGCCAGGTCCAGCACACAGCTGTCTGTCAAAAATTATGACTCATATCATGGATCCAAGTTCATGGAATCAGAGTGT